AGGGGAAGTATCGCTTCTCGCAATTTTATCCCATGTGTCTCGTAGTGAAATTGTCTGGAACTAAAAGTTCTTTCATATTGCGGTTGCATTGAATCAGCAGTATAGGACAAGAGCATCTGCTTCTAGAGTTCGAGGATTGAACTGGGGCCGTATGCGGATCCTGATTCATGAATCTGAGTCCATGATTCAACTCACGCTCTGATCCTGATTCATGATTCAAGTCACACCTTGATTCGAGCAAGCTGATTCAGATTCTTAGCTCAGGAGAAAAAGTCGAGATTTCTGAGTATGAGTACTTGAGGCAGACTCAGAATCGTGAGCAAGATCCTTGATCCTTGATTTATACTCAATGGCTGATGCGGAGTTTTTGGCACTGAGTCAGAGTATTTCATCAGTTCGAGATTAAATACTCAGAGGTAGCTTTTTTACTCGTGATTCGAGATTAATTCTCAGGAGTCGAGATTCTTTCGGGTTATTCAGAGAATTGCACCGGAATCCATTCCAGAAAGTATTCTTAGAATCGATTCTCAGAATCGATTCCTGGATCGTGACACGATCATCGTGTTCAGAGGATTCCATTCCCGAATATTCCGGAATGTATGCTGGAATCCAATCTGAAACGCGTTCAACGAATCGTGCTCTCAGAGTGAGTTCTCAGAATCTATTCTGGAATGGGAACCTTAATTTTTCGTAGCTTGCAACTCTTCGCTCCGCCCACGAAGCACTGTAGGCTACAGTCTGTAGCGGCGCTGGCTGATTACCAACCTGGTTGTTAACACAAGAACCGGGCATTTCTGCAGACAGACCGCTTAGTTATCCTTGGGGGTAGAAGGGTTGAAGAATCAATAAGGGAAAGGGGGAGAAGAACCCAACTACGATCTTGAGCCAAGATGGCTACCGTCACCTTACAAATACTAGTGTCCCAGAGGTTTGTGCTTGCTAAGCCAACCTATGTCTAAGGGACGACTAATGGGATCGACAAGGACGAAAGTAGCGAGTGTAACAAAGGGATATGACTAACGAACTCCAAAAGAGAACGAATTCGACGCCTAGCCGTTTCAGCCGTTTCGACAATACAATATGAAACTGCCTAGCGGGGCGAAGCGATCGCTACACTGCCGCCGCCGCTAGACGGAGTTGATGAAGCATACTACGAGTAGGAGGGCCTCTACCAGGTTGAGCATCGATAGCGTCAGCCTACAGGCGCCTTTGCTCTGGGGAGAGCTTTCTGGTGATCGCACTATCTTCGGCATAAGCGGCCTTGAAGTTAGGAGGTGGTCTCGCAATAAGATATTTCCAAGGGATCTTGATACAACATCTTCCGTCGGGGGCATCACGGTCGTCAACCAGAGTGACAGGGAGGTTCACGGCCTTGGGGCTGATCTTCACTCGTTGGTGGTTGATAGACACATCGTTGAGGCTCATATCGTTAATGTTCTTCGCAGTCACTTGATGGCACTTCACATAAGGAGAAGGGGCAGTTGCCTCCATATCAGACCTGGGGTCAAGCGGAATAGCCAGTAGCTGTTGACATTCCTGACCAGCGATGATTCTATCTTGTTGAGCAGCATTAGGATAGATCATCCACACCGCACTACCTGCACGTCTTAATAGATTAGTTGGCACAATGAAGGGGTAGTTGAGCGATTTGACAACTACTCCTTTTCAATCTCAAATTCAGCAAATGAAAGAACAAATTAGAAAAATGAAATTTGATTTTCGACGAGTGAAAGGTGTTTTTCACGAAATGAAAGTTCAAATTCGAAATGAAAGTTCGATTTTCGTAGACCACTCGAAAATGAAAGTTCAAGTTCGTAAATGAAATTTATGAATTCGGAAACACAAGTTCAAATTCGTCAAACACAAGACCAATTTCGATGAATGAAAGCTCATTTTCATCACGTCTCGTAATGCATTATTCACACTACACGAGTTCTGCAAAGCGTTCTTGCGGTACTCCCATTTTGCACAGTTATCGCGCGCAGAGGTACTCGAGGCATCACAATCGGTCACTCCTGGGTGGTTCAGGTTGGGACATGCGACACTCGAGTTAAATGGCGTCGAAGTCTTGATGTACATAGAGTTCTTAAGTTAAGAACTCTATGCTCAGCTAGCCGAATCTTGTTGCCCACAGCAGTGGTCTTCATGTCAAAGACTGTTCCGAGCAGACCATAACACAGAACCAGCTCACGATGATCTGCCAGACATATCCAACCACAAGGAGATGGCTGCTGTAGACAGATTGTGACAACACATTCCAGTCAGTGGTGCCGACTCAGCGGTCTTCCATTAGAGCTGAGAATGTCTAACAATAGGTAGGATCCGAGTCTCTCGGTATAACGCCGAGTAGGGTTGTCCATATCGGGCCCTACAAACGGAAACTGCCCCGAAAAGAACAGCCCTACGAGCCTGGAAATTCCCGAGGGATACAAGTCGTTGTCAATGGATTATTCACAGCGAATCGCTATTCTGTTTTGAACGACTAATCTGGATTTATGGTTTGCTGAAAGTGTACCGGTGGCTCGGTGCCTCGTATGAACTGGGTGCGACACGCACCGATGAGGAGATCAACTTCGCGGATGAGGAGATCAATTCCGAGTTGCAGATTCAATAGTGCATCAGTTACACTGTGAGGCCCCATAACTCATTTCTGAAAAGAAGCGTAACTCCGCACAGCACCCGAAAACAACATTAAGGGTGTACTATGCGTCGCATAGTATGCGATGCCATGAACGATACAAGAACCTATTCCATAGCTTACAAAGGAATATCAACATCAGAACTGAACTGCCTTCCGCGCTAAGGAAGTACGTTCCTCAAGATGGACAATGAATGGGATGACTCGTCAGATACAGTGAGATGAGATTTTACTAATACCCCGTATGCGTTACGCAAGTACAAGTTAAACCATTTGGGGCGCAAGTACAAGTCAGATTTGTATCACGGAGAACTGATTTGTGTGAAATCCGGCATGTTCTTGGATTCGGCAACGTTAGTGAAGGCAAACTGAACCTTTTGCGTGGTAAAACCGGTCAATCGCGACATCAAACTTATCAATACACACTTAAACATAATGACTACATACTTATCAAATCTGGCAAATAACTTGTAGCCATTGGCTACTAGCCAATCAGAGTGGTCAGCAG